CAGAGACTGAGACACACACACAGAGACTGAGACACACACACAGAGACAGAGATACACAAAGATGGAGACACAGGCACACATTTTTTCTACTCCCTCCTATCTTTGGTCTGGTTGTGGAGGTATCAGGTCCAGGTTGGAGACCCAGACCTTCTTTTCCAGCTCCTCCTGAGGGAACCCAATGTGTTCTTAGACAAGAGACGAGATCTCGTCCTTCTAGAAAGTTCTGGTTCTGGCCCCGGTCTCACCCCTGATCTAAGTCTTTATTCATTCATTCATTCAACCTTTATTTAAACAGATAAATCACATTGAGCCTCGAAGACTCATTTACAAGTGAGACCTGTTTGGACAGACAAAAAACAGTGGTTAACAGGACACATGTAGGAATTGGAGGCGAAAAAATTCATATCAGACTTTTTTTCTTGGCTGAGAAAAACCCCTAATATTGAAAAAAACACTTTGCACAAACAAGCACATATTTACGTAGACATTCTGCAGAGCAGGAAGAAGGAAGAGACGATGTTATGATGTTTGCATAAAGTTCTTTCTGGTCCATGGAGGTGTGCACATGTCTAAACAGATTGTTTTGTGTGTTTTTGACCAGCCACAATCAGCTGTCATCACTTCCTGTGGAATTGTTTACACTGAAGAATCTCCATTGCCTTACCCTGCAGCAGAACCTTCTGGAGAACCTCCCAGAGGAGCTGGGACAACTGCAGAGTCTGACAGAGCTGGTAACTGAGCTGAGAAGCTTTACTGAAACGAATGAGAATGTAAAGAGCAACACACATTTCACCTAAAATTACAAAAATGTATGTTTGAAATGACCTCAGAGAGGCACAGTAATGGTGTAGGTTCTTCATCATCTAGAACGTCTCTCCAAATACAACATCCTAATCCATTTCAAACCTACAAGGACCCTCAGATAGGCTGGTCCATTCTGAAGACACTTATCAAGTGGAATGATGTCTACAGTTCAGAGCAGTGAGGAATGTTCAGACCTCCGTGTTGGAGAAACTAAAGAACATCTCAGAACATTCAGGGGACATTTTTTAATGGTTCTCTGGGCATCACTTTTTAAAAGTTGAAGCAAAACTGAAGTTTGTCCCCCAAGAGAGAGGAGTGTAAATAAGGAATGGCAATAAAGTTGGTCTCTGGTAGTTTATGGTACTGTATGAAGAACTATTTCCCTTTGAAAACGATTAAATCTCTTGTGCTGTTAGTTACATCAATAGTTACCAAATAACAACAAATATTCAAATATTACAACTGACCTCAAACTCGTTTATCTTGATTTTGATTTGTCCGTTTACAAGAGCACCAACAAACTTTCTCTTTTACAATGCTCACTTTCCCGTGTTGTGATTGGCTGATGGAGGTGTCCTGTTTTCTGTCATTACCTGAAGGACGTGTCCAACAATCAGCTGTCAGCTTTGCCCTCCAGTATCGGCTGTCTCACAAAGCTGCAGAAAGTGAACCTCAGTCACAACAAGCTTCAGTCTCTGCCGGACAGCATGCACCACCTTACAGGTAAAAACATGGCCGCACTCACAAACACACCGCCTCAGACAAGATGTGTGTATTTGTAACATATTTATTATTTCAAAGAGCTGAGCTTGACTTCTGCCTTCTTTACCTGGACACAGTCATTTGAAAATACCATTCCCTGATCTTTTTGTCCCCCATCACGGAACAAAGAGAGGCAATTGGAAATACCCTCTGTTCATCCGTGAATGTTTTGAGCATAATAACTTGAAAAATAAGTGAGGTACCGACTTCCTTTTTCCTGAAAGTTGTTGAAGATCAAAAGTCCAGAAAATTTAGTCAAAGCTGTCAAAAATGGGTGCAGTTTAGATTTACACGTTATGCCTCTAGGCCCCTTAGCTGTCGAGCTGGAGGGGTGGTGCGCATGTGCACTTCACCCCCAGGAGTTAAAACCAGTCCGAAGACTGAAGCTTCCCCACTTTTGATGTACAGTATATGTTGAATCATTTTGGTTCCAACACTGACCCCTGGGGGACACCACATAAATATCCAGGCATTCAGACCTTTGATCTTTTATTTTCACAAATTGTTCATGGCGCAACTGGCAGAGCTGCTGCCCCTCAGCAAGCAGGTCCCCAGCTGAAATCCTGGTCCAGGGGCCCGTCTGGGTGAAGTTTGCATGTTCTCTCCGTGCATGCGTGGGTTTTCTCTGGGTAATCCGGTTTCCTCCCACAGACCAAAAACATACATGTTTGGCTGATTGGTAACTCTAAATTGTCCCTAGGTGTGAATGAGAGAGTGAATGGTTGTTTGTCTCCATATGGCCCTGTGATGGACTTGGGACCTGTCCAGGGTGTACCCCGCCCCTCGCACAGTGATTGCTGGACATGGGCACCGGCGACCCCTGTGACCCAAAATGGAAGAAGCGGGTAAAGATAATGGATGGATGGATGGATGTTACCTGTTAGTTAACTCTTGACCCAGTGCCACCGCTGCAGTTGCATATTCTGTTTACTGAAGTGGTAATTTTAATTTATGACCACTTGTGTCAAATGTCTTTTTATTGTTCCGTATTCAAAGATAAATGTCTTAAATCAATGAATTTATGAGCAATGCTTTGTTGTTTTTCTGTCCTGTTCCTCCAGACGTTAAAGTTCTGGAGTGCAGCAATAACCAGCTGTCCGATATCCCTGCCAGCCTATCAGGGATGGTTTCTTTGCAGCAGCTTTATCTCCGACACAACAAGCTGTGCCGACTGCCACCCCTCCCTGGTACCGCACTTAAAGTAAGAAACACCAGAGCTTTCATGCTTCATCTGTTCATTAGTGTTGTGAGCAGTGCTGATGGTAATTCAGCAATTTCTTAATCTTTTTGTAATAAACCTGACAACTAGTGACAATTGTTCTTTAAATAATGTGTGTGTAGGAGCTGTATGTTGGGAACAACCAAATAGAGCTGTTGGAGAGAGAGCAGCTCGTCAGCTTTACGCTCATATCTCTTCTAGAACTGAGAGACAATAAGATCAGAACCCTTCCAGAACAGTTCCCTGTGCTGGCAGAACTGACACGCCTCGACCTGACCAACAACGACATCAGCGTGTACGTCCTCACACACTACTCTATCAGAAGTGAACCATTTATACAGTTGGCCCCTTCACACGGGATAAAACAGCCAGAACCTGGACGCTCTTTGCAAGGTCTTGGTGAGGTTTTCAGGTGTACGTTAAGGCCCACCCACACATTAACAGTTTATGATGAACACTAAAATGTAGATTAAAAGTCTGGGTGGATTGCTTGAAGACAGCCCACTGCTGACAGATAAACTAAGTGTTGGGGGCTGCGTCTGGACTTTAAGAATTACTCATTTCTATAAACCACTAGAAGGCACTGTCTGTCCCACCAGTTGTTCTGGTGGGACAAGATGGCATTCAAAACAACAAATTATCACAGCTGACAAAACAACAATTTAATTAACAGCAAGCCCGACTGGATCTGTGTCACAAAATATTTTTAATATCTTTAAAGTAATGTCATATAAATCATAATTAGTCATCCATCATCTTCTGCTTGTTCCAAAGTCGGGTCACTGGGGCAACAGCTAGAGCAGGTGCATCTTTTTCCACAGCTCTTCCTCCAGCTCTTCTGTGATGATTCCAAGGCATTCCCAAGACAACTGAGAGACATTGTCTCTCTAGCCTAGCGTGTTCTGGGTTTTTCCTGGGGTCTCCTCCCAGTCCAGGGGTCTGCAACCTGCGGTTCTGGAGCCACTTGCGGCTCTTTGGTCCCTCTGCAGCGGCTCTTTCAAGCTTTGACCAAAACTGAAATAAAACTGAATTTTATTGGTTGTTCTAACAACAACTAAAAGGGCTAGTTTTAGCAGTTTTCCTGTAATTTATTGTGCAAATATTTGAATACTAGAAACATCACAAAGTAAAACATATTCACTCACTTTATGCTTTATTTCCTCAAAGTAGGATACATACATTTTCTACAATTAATAAAATCATATAAGAATGCATAGTTTATTGTTTTAGTTAATAGAAACTGGGCAAAAGCTATATTATTTTTTCCTTCTTTACAAGAATCTCGTCCTTTACTTTGTCTTAGAGTGTAAAATTATCAATAAATGTTAAAAAATCATTAGATATTTTTAGTTTTATAAAATCACCCCTACTGTCCAGAAAAGCTCCCTCCAACAAACTTAAAGTGGTCTGTGAGCCACCAGTTCAGAATCCCAGTTGTAGCAGGTATTGTGGCTCAGGACATGTTTAATTTAGTGAACAAAGGGGCAGAAATGGCTCTTTTGATCATAAAGGTTGCAGACCCCGAAACATCTCCCTAGAGAGGCGCCCAGGGAGCATCCTTACCAGATGCCTGAACCACCTCAACTGATTCCTCTCGATGTGGAGGAGCAGCGGTTCTACTCTGAATCTCTCAAATAACTGAACTTCTTACCCTATCTCTAAGGGAGAGTTCAGCTACCCTTTGGAGGAAACATTTAGAAAGCTTGTAATGGCAATTTTATTCTTTTGGTCACTACCCAGAGTTCATGACCATAGGTGAGGGTAGGAACATAGTCCGACCGATAAACAGAGTTTCACCTTACAACTGTAGGGTTTCTGGGGTCTGGTCCTGCATGTTGTGTTTTCCTCATGTTTACCTCATGTTTGCCAGTCATCCCTCAGTGTTTCTCCTCCCTGTGTTCCAGCACTGTCGCACCCATGTCAAATCTAATCACCGCAGGTGCCTGTCATTTCACCTTGTTAGCATCCGTAAATTTTCAGCCCCTTGGTGTCTTGTCAGTTGTCTCTGAATTGTCCTGTCAAAGGCTTTATACTCTGTATTCCTGTGTGTCCTCCTAAAAGTAAGTTAGCTACCTCAACATAATTTTGTTTAGTTTATTTAGAAAATAAACTTTTTACTTATTTTTACTGGAGTCTCTCCTGCATGTGGGTTTAACACTCAGACACAGAACATGATAGAGTCCAGAGAACAAACTGAACCCAGCAGGAAGATAACTGTTTGAGTTTCTGGTCCGTGAGGCAAAAAAGACTGCACAATGTGAGGAGGGGGAGGAGAGGATTTCAAAAAAATTCAAGACAAAAGGAGGAGAGGAAAAATACTCTGTTCCAAGTTACTCGCCTTGCATTTAAACCTGGGTCCACTGCCTTGCCACTTCACCTCTTTTCACTGCCTCATCCACCGGCAGCACCTCATAACCCTCCTCCCCAACCACCTCCTGCTCTCCGGAGCGGTCTCCAGAGGGAGGGGGGCAACCCGCTCGGATTTGTCGCAGGAGGAATGGACGGCAGAACCAAGCTGGATCCACCGAACCCCAGTGCTGCTCTCTTCAGATGTAGCTGGAGGAGTGGTGGAGAATTTTGCAGGTGGGGGGGCAACCCTGCTCTCGCTTGTTGGAGGACCAGTAGACGGAGCAGCTGAATCCTTGCCAATGCGTTCCTCTTGGTGGGGGGACTACACATGCCCCTGCGTACCCGTCGCTGGGGGGGAGGAACCCCGCAGCCCCAGCAATCTCTGGGAGAGGATGATCGCTGTGGAGGACTTCATCTCCAAGTACACCAGGGCTGACAATACGAACAACTCACCAGGGACGTGGGAGCAGTTCCAGAATGCGTCAACGGAGAGGCGTCAACGAAGAGGCGCTTACTGCGCTCGCTTCTGCTGGCTCCTGTTCAGCCTGATTCTCCTCCCAGTTCACCACCTACCATGCTGGTCTCCACACCAGCACCTGCCATGGTGGTTCCCGCATCAGCACCTGCCACACTGGTTCCCGCATCAGCACCTGCCACACTGCTTCCCACATCAGCACCTGCCACACTGGTTCCCGCACCAGCACCAGAGCTTCTGAGCCTATCCACAGACACGCAAAGCTGCTGGGCCCATCCACAGATGCAGAGCTGCTGGGTCCACCTTCAGATGCTGTCTTGCAGGGTCCAGCCATAACTGCAGTCCCCTTAACAGCCTGTTCTCCTACTGAGGCTCCCACTGATAGTCCTCCTGCTGTGGTCCTCTCCGCTTGTCATCCTGCTGTGGTCTTCTCCGCTTGTCGTCCTGCTGTGGTCCTCTCCACTGGTCGTCCTGCTGTGGTCCCGCCTACTGGTCCACCTGCTGTGGTCCTCATCGCTGGTCTGCCTGCTGTGGTCCTCGCTGCTGGTTCGCCTGCTTGGTCCTCGCCGCTGGACCGCCTGCTATGGTCTCATCGTCTTCAGCCACAGCCGCCCCAGGGGTCTCATTGCTTTCAGCTGCAGCCGCTCCAGTCATCTTGACACCTGCAGCCATGGCCTCTCCTATGGTTTCCTCGCCTGCAGCCGCTTCAGTCACCTTGACGCCTGTGACCATAGCTCCTCCTTCGGCCTCTCCTGTGGCCTCGACTACCTAGGACCAGTTCCTAGTGGTTTCTAGAACTCTATGAAATTATGTGATCAGAGCACCCTCTAGTATTTTTTAGAACTCTTTGAGGTCATGTGACCAAAGTGCCCTCTAGTATTTTTTAGAACTCTTTGAGGTCACATGACCAGAGCACCCTCTAGTGGTTTATAGAACTTTATGGTGGTCTAGATTATGGTGAAGGTGCAGGACAAATCTGCTTGTTTAGCCTCATGACTGACTTCACACTAAAGGCAGTTGTCCTGGTCTACCAACCTTCTGGTTCTGGTTCTGTAGGTTGTGGAGAGCGTAGTGCGGTTATAATTCTATGTGATCTCAGTTTCACACATCAATTAGCCATTCAAACAATATTCCTCACATGATTACATCTTCCACTGCTCAGAGAAACAAGGAGGCTTTTATATTTTAGAATTGTCCAATTTAAAAATCTTTACATGCTTTTGTATTTAATTAGAATTGTTTGCAGGTTCAGTTACTGAATGATGTTTTTGTCTGTCTGCCAGGCTTCCAGCTTCACTCAGCCTGTTGCCCAACCTGAAGGTGTTGCTGCTGGAGGGAAACCCTCTCCGAGGAATCAGGAGAGACCTTCTATCTGTGAGTTCAGATGCACCAACCCTTCTATGCGATGCCTGAAGGAACCATGTTCTGACAGTGAAAAATGTCATTAAATTGACCTTTGATGCAAAGCTAAACATGTACAAGGTATGAAGTACAAAGGTACAAAATACTTTATTTGCCATTTGTGCACAGACCAAAAATCCAGGCACACTGGAATTCTTGTGCAGAGCTCTCTGTCATAGTCATAACACTGAAACAACATTAAATAAAATAAAAATTAGAATAAAGTGGTTTTTATCTGCATTGTACAGAAAGTAGGTAATATCTACACCTTCCCATGACACTTGATGTTAATTAGTGATGGGTTATTATTTCACCAGATTCAGTGGTTTTGTTTTGCAATCAGTCTGACTGTGATGGAAAAAACTATTAAAACACCTTGTACTATGCGATGATGCTATCCTCTCTACTGTGTCTCAGTTTATATGAACATTTTTTGTGTCTCTTGAAACTGTGCCTACGGTCAACCTACTTCACATATGGGGAGCAATATTATACGCAAAAACATGTGTATGCTATGGGGTCTCAAGTTTCTCCTATTGTTGCCAACCTGTACATGAGGAGGTAGAAAAGAGAGCCTTGACGTCCTTTTCAGGGACACCACCAAGTCATTGGTTCAGGTATGTTGATGAGACCTAGGTTAAAATTAAATCTCAGGAAGTCCAACATTTCACTGACCACATCAGCTCTGTGGATAAATATATAAAGTTCACACGAGAAGATGTAAAAAATGGCAGGTTGGCTTTCTTGGACTGTGAGGTCTCAGTTTCTGATGGAGGACATTTGCAAAGTACCGCAAACCCACTCGCACAGATCAGTATTTGCAGTTTGACACCCATCACTCTCTGGAGCACAAGTTAAGAATCATCAGGACTCTGTACTTCAGAGAAGACAGCGTCCCCACTAACTTGGGAGCCAGGCAGAAGGAGAAATCCCACACAAGACAGGTTCTCGAGAAATGTGGATATCCTAACTGGGCTTTCTTGGAAGTAGAGAAGAAACCCAAACAGGACTTCAGCCAGCCATCAGGTGAAAAGGAGGAACCCAGACCAGTGGTCATTCCGTATGCTGCAGGAGTTTCAGAGAAATTGAAATGTTTATTTTCTAAACACAACGTCCCAGTGGCTTTTAACCCCACAAAATACATTATGGCAAAGACTGGTTCATTCCAAAGATCCAGTCTCCCGGCACAAATATTGTATATGCTGTTCAGTGTCAGGAGGGCTGTGATCAGTCTTACATCAGGGAAACTAAACAGCCACTGGCCATAAGGATGGCCCAGCACAAAAGTGCAACATCATCAGGCCAGGACTCTGCAGTCTACACTCATCTCCAGGCCAGCGGTCACTCTTTCAGGGATGAAGATGTTCACATCCTTGATAGAGAGGAACGATGGTTTGAGAGAGGAGTAAAGGAGCCCATCTTTGTGAGAAAAAAAACGTCCATCATTAAACGGGGTCAGAGGCCTCCATGTTCAACTGTCCCCCTTTTACAATGTTGTTACTGCTAGTATCACTCAGCCCCCTGTGAATAGCAAGCAGCCATCAGGGTGCTAAAGATCAGTTGTTAGTCTGATGGGCCTCCTTGATCATGTGAACAGCTAGTTTTGAATGTCAACAACAAACTGGTTGATCCACTCTGAGAAGGTGCTATTTATAAGACTGAGCTGCATACAGCTTCTCAGACTGAACTGAAGAAGTCTTTCAGATGAAAGACGAAACGTTTCTACTATTGTTTGTTTTTTGAACCCGTCCAGAGGACCAGACTTAACTTTTTTAGATGTTTCTACCTGGATTATTGATCATGCATCAGGACATTCTGGCACATTTTTTGCTGCTTTCCAGATGTTGCAGGGTGTGGCACAGGGCTATTGCTACTGCATCATCTATTGATCGATTAGAGCTGTAGGCAAATTGGAGGGGGTCTGGGACCATGCGGTTGATGTGCTTAAGAATAAATTTTTGTAGGCACTTCATAGCAACTGATGTAAGTGCTACTGGCCTGAAGTCGTTAAGTTTGGATGTGTCTGGACTTTTGGGAACTGGTATGATGATGCTGGATTTGAAAATACTGGGGATTACTTACTGCCTGCAATAATGACAGGTTGAAGATGTCAGCATATACTCCACCTAGTTGTTCCCCACAGGCCTTCAGAACTCTGGGGAAAAACTCCTTCAGGTCCCCAAGCCTTGTGGGGGTTCAACTTCTTCAGCGCTTTCAGGCCCTGTGTGTGTCACCTGGAAGGCCATGTCTACGGGGTCACAGGATGACCTTGAGGATGTGTCTATGTTCAACCTGTCAAACCTGAAATGTGTTAAGGCTGTCTGGAAGGGTGGCCTCTCTGGGATCTGTGGTTGTCATGATTCTCCTGTAGTTTGTGACAGATTGAATTCCCTGCTACATGCTGTGCGTGTTTTGGTTGAGGTAGTAGCTTTCAAGTTTTTGTGAGCTCTTTTTGCTGTTCGTATCAACTTCTGCAGCTTGTATCATGCTCTCTTGTACTCTTCTTGATCTCCTGACTTGAAGGCCTCCCTCCGCTTCCTGGTTTTCTGTTTTACGTCCCTATTAAAACTAGGGTTTTTGGTTGGGGAACATCCGCACAATCCTGGGAGGGGCACACATGGATGTATACCAGCTTATGTAGTTACTCACAGTCCCTGCATATTCATGGATATTCTTTGCAGCCTCTTTGAAGGTGCTGTCGTCTGTGGCCTCCAAGCAGCCATGCCAGCTAGTCTTTGCACTATCTGTCCATGTGCTAACGGTCCTGACTGTGACTGGCTTTGTCTTAAGCTTTTTGTTGTAAACTGGTTTAAGCCAGATTGCCAGGTGATCAGACTTACCAAAGTGAGGTTCAGTTGAGAAGGCTCCTGATGTTGCTGTAGCAGTGATTCAGTATTTTATTTCCCCTGGTGGGTAAAGTCACAAACTGATGCAGTTCAGGGCTACACAGTCTACACAAGACATAATACGTAGGGAGTGGGGGTCCCAGCACGGCCACCAGGTGAGCGACGCAGCCCTTTGTGCCTTCGCATCTCCTAGGTTGCCGTGCCAAGGGAGGCGAGGGAGGCAAGTGGAGTCATTGAGTTTGTAGCACAGCACAATCCAGAGCTAACCCCTAGCCATAGTCCTGATAAGAGTTATTTGTTTATCAGCCAGCTCGGTTGAGCTCTATCACAGGTCCACGACCTTGGGGAAGGGAGGGGGTGGGGAGGGGGACAGAGTGTCTTTGTTTCCATAACATCCAAGGATAATTCGGAAGGTATGCAAAAAAAAGGGGCTTTGTAAGAGGTACACAAGACAAAAGAGCAAAGCAGAGACAGAGAGGACACCTGCCTTCCACCAAGAGCAAGCAAGAAAAAAGTGTATATGAAAGCAGACATCTGCTGAAACATGTTGCAGTATTTCTAGTGTGGCCCGTTCCTCATTAGAACATCTCTACTGACCAGAAATGTTGTCTTCCCCACACACAGAAAGGAACCAAAGAGGTGCTGACATATCTCAGAGGAAGAATTCAAGGTATATTAATATGTTTGTGTCAACTGAACAAAAATTCCATTACACTCGTGCACCTTTGTGTCTATACACACTTACCTCATGTCCACACCAAAAACTACTTTCCTGTTGATCGTTGCTGTTAGATGGCTTACTGATAATTACTGTCCT